AACTATCCTATCTATTTATGACGATGCCAGTAATTTCATAATTACTAGCAATTATGCGAATCGGCAGTTGGAGACGGAACAGACACGGGTAGAAAAATGACAGTACAAATGTCGCAGAGAAATTGAAGGACCTGAGTGGGGGACTGGGAAATGGAGGTATGTGTGTGTTGTGTGCGTGTGCACGCGCGCGCTTGTGTGCTTGAGAGAGGGGGAGACAGAGAGCGCGAGAGAAAAAGAGAAAGAGCGCGCGTGCGAGAGAGAGAGAGAGAGAGAGAGAGAGAGAGAGAGAGAGAGAGAGAGAGAGAGAGAGAAGCCGTCCTGTTGTATACCCCTGAGCTATAGTTTTTCTGGGGGTTTTTCATACGCCCTCCAGAGATCCCAATTTGTAAAAGATAAATGACCCTTGAGTTTGTTCTGAGATGCTTGCTTAGGGCTCTCAGTAACTGGCTATCGGAGCGTTTCCCCACATTGATGGAAGACAGCATCGGTCGGTAGCCGAGGACTTTAGTTTCAAACCGTGTGGGCTCTTGGGGCGGTTCGGCGGCACGTTGTGTTGTGGTTTACAGCTAGGCATCAATATCTGTATCTGTCAAGCCAGCACAATGATTTCAGAAAAACCGTATTTAGTTGCTTTTTATGACATACTTGTAACAGTGTAGTGAGTCAGTTTTCTCCCCTCCCCTCCACCCCCCCCTCCCCCCAATAGGGCCCTTGAACCCACACGGGGGCTTTTTTAGAATAATCATCATAAGAAGAACAATAAAAACAACAGTAGCAACAACAACAGAGCAAAACGATGGACTTCAATGATTAATATTTTGTTGTTGTTGTTTTGTTGTTGTGTCGTGAGGGTGGTGATTACAGTTGAGAGGGAGGGTTTCATCCCATCTAGCTAGACCTCTCTCCTGGGAAGTTCAGGGAACAAATTCAGCTACTCCACCCAACACGTAGACTGTGTGGTCTCAGTATAGACTGCATTTGTGAGCCAAATGGATTACTACTATTACTACTACCCCTCCTACCTCTACCACCACTAACTACTACTGCTACTACCACCACCATCATCAACCCTACCAACACCACAACCAAAACTACCAACATCACCACAACTACTACTGCTTCAGCTACCACTATTACTGCTACTACGGCCTCACTACTACTATCACCACTACTGCTGCTACTGCGATCACCACATCATCACTGCAACTAACACCACCATTGCTCCCCTCTCTACTACTACCTCCATCATCTCTGCTGCTACCACTGCCATCACCACCACCAACTCACCCCATCATTCATTACTACAGGTAGTATACTAAAGGCGCGAACTGTTCATAAAGAAAGCAAGTTAAAGCAGCGACGTAACCTGAGTTCAAGTCAACAGAGGAAACTAGGGGACAGGGTAGAGTGGCTACGGAGAATCGCAAATTGTAGAAAGATTCAACTCTAGAATCCAAGCCAATCATGGTAATAGCTACAAACAGATCTGGTATGAGTTGGTACCTCGTGCTCCATTGGAAGACCAAAGGTAACAAGAGATTTAGAAGCAGCGCACAATCTGAAGCTGCATATCCACTGGCTAGCGGCTTTCTAAGGCGGGGCTGAAGCGCTATCTTCTCCGCCACTTTTTCTGTCCAGTTCGTTTTACTGTGAACAGTTAAAGCAAGGAACTGACACCGCAGAGCTTCTTCGGTCAGGTGTGGACTACTCAAGTGGTCTTGTTGTTCTGGATTGTTTGGCGTTGTCTACGGTCCCGTGCTGGGAAATTCCTTGTAAGTCTTTGATTTACTGCAATTACTACTTTCATAAATGTGCATTTGACTTCTTTGTTCTGGTATTTCTCGTCATTTTCTTCTTCTTAGCGTTCACCGGCAGTAAACTCCGGCGGAAAGTTCTGGTTGTTCATTCATTTCTGGACTTTAGATTTGCACTAGAATAAGAGCGTTGTGTGCACATTAGTTTTACAGATTTGACTTATTTGTATGCAGACTGTTAGTTCTTTCCCTCTCAGACAGATGCACTCCGACTTCGAAGGTAAACCCCAATAAGTCGACGCCTACGACATGCTTGTTGAGAAGGCAGTGGGTTTATTGTTTTTTTATACCCACAATTGGAGCCCTGGAAACCACAGGGAACGATTTTCTTGTTTCTTCGATTATCATATTGTTTAATGCTCTGCCTTACACGGGTACCAGGTAAAGTCCTGGGCAGTAAATGCAACCGGTGTGATGTTGACCACATCACTCACCTAGTTCCGACTGGTACATAAAGACATATGAGTCTAGAATCGTATGCAACCTAGTTCCGACTGGTACATAAAGACATATGAGTCTAGAATCGTATGCAACCTAGTTCCGACTGGTACATAAAGACATATGAGTCTAGAATCTTATGAAACCTAGTTCCGACTGGTACATAGAGACATATGAGTCTAGAATCTTATGCAACCTAGTTCCGATTGGTACATAAAGACATATGAGTCTAGAATCTTATGCAACCTAGTTCCGATTGGTACATAAAGACACATGAGTCTAGAATCTTATGCACGATTTGCCATTGGCGTTAAAAAAAATTGTTCTTTACTTAAATGTATTCTAACTTTGATTAGTTTTATCCTAGCTTCGGGACAGTGGTACGGGATCTGTTTTCATCTGATAAGATGCGATTATAGCTCCTACCTTTTGTGCAAAGTCGAGTGCTTTCTTAATAGCCTACCCCACAGGTCATGCGTCAGTATATTTCTGGGGCTAGTAGATAAACTACATGCAGTCGTGGGATCTAGGCTGCACTCTCTCGTGCGACGTGAGTAGGCCAGTTCTAGATGTTTGGGGTCATTAAAAGTATCAAAAAGCCGGAAAACCCAGTCTTACCACCCTCTAAAATGGTGGACTGTACTGTGACGTCATCTGGGGTAGGATATTACGGAAGGACCTAAAGTCGATATCCAGCTTATCCCGGATGCTCTGAAAAGTTATGTTTCCAACTAGGTTTTTTATGCAAATTTTTCTAATATGGACAGGAGTCCCAAGGTTCTGTCGCCAAAATGTTGATTTGAATGCTTTTTTGTGTGTGAACTGTTTGCTGTGGAGTTCATGTGGAACTCAAATGGCGGGTGGCCGATTACGTTTAGAATGGCGAGTATTTTTGGCGTATATAATGTCCGGTTTCCCGACTCACCACGGTTTGCGGCAAAAGTGAGCCACAGTCCTGGCGTTGGATCATTAGTGTTGGCACAATTGATAGCTGCCTTGTGCTTTGGATACAAGCTTCAAGATCGTGCTGGGACTAAGAAGTTTTCAAATGAGAGCTTAAAGGTCATTTTGTGTGATTTCCACTCGGCAAAAAGAGGCGGCATTTATTGTGCGACCCGTCTACAGTGATGTTGTAACCTCGACTAACCACTAACGACTGCTGTGTAATGTGTTCCCCTAGCCAGCTGATACCGCTAAATCTCTTTCACATGCGATGCCTGAGAAGAATACTTGGCATTAAGCATCAGGACAAGATCACAAATACTGAGGTATTGGAAAGAGCAGGTATTACAACAGTTTTCTCAATGCTTAATCTACGGAGGCTCAGGTGCACGGGTCACACCTGGAGAAGGAAGAAGGGAAGAGTCCCTAAGGACATCGTCTATGGTGAATTAAAGACGGGTAGAAGATGTCGAGGCCGGCCTCTATTACGATTTAAAGATGTGTGCAAGCTGGACATGAATGATACATGTATTGAGGTGGACTAGTGGGAACAACATGCCATGAACCGTGTTGTGTGGAGGAGGCACATCAAGGATGAAATGAGAATGAAGGAAGAAGTAATGGCAGAAAGGATGAGAGCTGAGTGTCTGGAAAAGAAACAGACTAAACACAGATGTTGACAACAATGGTCCTGAAAACCCATGCTATCATTGTGGAAGACTTTTCTTTACGAGGGCTGGTCTTGCTAGTCACACTCGTCATAGCCATGGGCTGTGAGTCCCACGCCTCCTCATGGCGGCATGTAACACTATCGTCTGGAAAGATGGAAAACTGTTTTAGTTTGACCGCTATCTGAATATTAATACGTTAGGTTAAATCTTTCTAGTGGTCACAACGTGTGCAAGTGTCCCTCTTCTCGTAACCCTGTTTCTGAATGGTTCGATTCTAGGAAAGCAGCTTGGGAAATATATGCTTGCAGAAGTCGGATGTGTCGACCGGAAGGCACACATATCGCTGCCGTGTTGCAAACGGGTACAACGCATTTACGTCTTCGGATGAAGGTAGAAGAAGAAGGAAAATGACTCGATCTGCTGCAGGCGATTTGGCAACAGGCCTCTATTGGTTGATTCTTTGACAAATAATAAGCTTTGAGTATTAGTAGAGCAATGGTAAACTACTAAAAGTCATCATCATCAAGTGCCTTGCCGACTGACGTGGGCGATACAGCCTCTCCACAATCCACGATCTCCTGCAACATGTATCTGTTCTTGTGCCGACACACCTCCATGCCATTCAACAAGACTGTCAAAAATCTTCTCTTGTTATCTGCCTCTATCCATCCTTCCACAGATCTCTCCATTAGTCACAACATGTTCTTTTTTCCCTCTTCGCATAACACGGCCGAAAAATGATGACTGACTCCTTCTGATGTCTTTGATAAGTTGTTTTCGGGCTCCCGCCTCTTTCAAAACCTCTTGTTTTTTTTTTTTCCAAAGTATTCTAAGCATTCTTCTGTAAAATAACATCTCTTAAGAAATTGTTTGGTCTGCCTACAGATTGTCCAGGATTCACGGCCATATGTTAAAACTGGATGTAAGTAGCAAGCAAGAATTCGTTTTCCAACTCTCAATGACAAAGATATATTGCACAAGATGTTCTTCGTTTTATAAAATGCAGTATTTACTCAATGTACAGTTGAATAATACAACAATAAACGGCCAACAAATGTTAAGTTTGGCTTGCAACGTCCAGTAAAGGATATGCAACTAACTTTTTGCTTCCTTTACTGTCCACAGTGTTGAAGCAATGAAAGAAAAGTCAAAGAATGCAGCGAGGACTAGACGAGAGAAGGAAAATGCCGAGTTTTACGAGCTGGCCAAAATGTTGCCTCTGCCTTCCGCCATTACATCACAGCTGGATAAAGCCTCCATAATTCGACTGTCTACCAGCTACCTCAAAATGAGAGCAGTTTTCCCAGACGGTAAGTGATGTGTTTGTTTGCGGATTTGTCAGTGAGTCCACCCCGTTGTGATGTCTTTGTTTGCAGGCGTGTATGTGAGTCTACCCCGTTGTGATGTCTTTGTCTTCCGACGTATATGTAAGTCTACCCCGTTGTGATGTCTTTGTCTTCCGACGTATATGTAAGTCTACCCCGTTGTGATGTCTTTGTCTTCCGACGTATATGTAAGTCTACCCCGTTGTGATGTCTTTGTCTTCCGACGTATACGTGAGTCTACGCCATAGGGATTTCTTTGTCTTCCGACGCATATGTGAGTCTACACCATTGTGATGTCTTTGTTTACGGATGTCTATATGAGTTTACCAGCATTATGGTGTCTTTGTCCTCCGAGGTATAGGTATGTCCGTCCTATTGTCATGCCTGCTCGTTTGATCATCATCGTGCGCCGTGCCGAGCAGTGATGGTGACACTGTCACACCACAACCATCTATTTACTATCTTCTGGATAAATTCGGCTGAAAACAGTTCATGTCTCTACACGAAGATATTCTAAATTGTGTACTGCCGCTGACCTCTGACCCAGTGTCTTCGAACTGTATAGTTATCACATTGTTCTCTCTCAGCGTATGGGTTCCGGGGCCCTTTTGTAGTGAAAAATAAAGAATAGACCCACCACCTACCTAAAAACCTGTTGTAAGAGTCGACTAATTGGGAGCTTCCTTCTAAATCGGAGTGCATCTACCTGAAGGGCAAGGAACCAACAGACTGCACACAAATGAGTCAGATATGTAAAACTTATGCGCCCCCAACACTCATGTCTTGGAACAGGACTGCAGTCCAGAAGTGGACGAACAACAAGAACTTTTAGCCAGAATTTATAGCTGGTAAACGCAAAGAAAAAGGAGAAGACATGCTTTCATTTCCAGATCGGCTCCGTCTTGCTCAGACACTGACCCCCTCGATGAAGTTCAGTTCAGCAGACTTCTCATCATCGCTATCCCCTTCATCATCATTCAACATCCCATTTCTCGCATATCAAAATATCAATTACACAAAGTAAACTCAGGGGCGGCTGCTACCCAATCCTTGCCAGCATTCAATGCACACTATTCATTTCATAATGAAATCACGGCCTGCCTTTCAACTTTCACTCCCCCATAACGAACGCCCGGCACTGGGTTCTGGACGACCCACCCGTTCCGCTCATCGTTTGCCTCACAATCTGTCGGGCATTATCAGCTCACTACTTCTTCAGTTGGAGTGCAGAGGCGTATCAACAAAGTGGACCAGAGTTGACCCTTGTGAGTTCACATAATGAATTGTCATTTAATTTCATTGGTTTTTAAGATTTTGGTTTTTATTACTATTCTATTGTCCCTTCATTTTATGTTTACATTGGGGGGTTTCTTTTTTTCCAAATATTTTTCCCCCCAAAGAACTGTTCCCCGTTACTGAAATTATATTACATCATTAATAAAATCAAAATTATAAAATTATTAATATGCAATGCATTATAATGAGATGATGGATGGTTATTTGCAACGATCGATTAGTTTATTTCACTGACAACATAATCTACATTATACACGCTTCTGAAACCCCACTCTGCCCCTGACACTATCACAAACATACGCGTGCACATACACACACATACACACACACACCTGTTCTCAGTGACAAGGCGTGCTCAGTTCACACGTGTAAGCGTTAACAGGCAAAGATTACGCTAAAGAGGGTATCACGTGATGTTTTTCTCCTCGTCGCTTCGCTGTTGAGATATGCGTGCGCAGCTAGCATTGTATTACTGGTAACTGCTAATTTTCACACATTACAGTTTCTGCATGAGTGCAGTAAACATGCAGTGAGCGTTATTTTCGCTATATTCGAGGTGTGGCGTATTTGCAATTAATATTACACAGTAGTAAGTAGTAAAACACATTTCTCTGATAATAGAAAGTGTAAGCTGTCATTCCTTACGTTGGTTTCGACATTGGTATCAGGGAGCCGACGGTCCAGAGGCAATGGCAAACTACTGGACGTAAATTTGCCTAGTAAAACCATACAACAGCCAGAGGCTGATGGGGTTGGTTCTGCAACGTCCTGTAAAGGATACGCAACTAACCTAACCTAACCTAACCTGTCATTATATTTGCTAAATGCAAGCTGTTAGTAAAACGTTAATAATACAGCCACCATCGAAAAGGAATCATTTCCAATCCAAGAGGCGTAAGCAGGCAGGTAGGTAGCGAAGTAGGTGGGTGGGTGCTTTGTAGGAACAATTTGAAAACTGTCACGTTCAACCAGCATTGCCGAAGGGGAAGATTTCAATTATAATTGAGATTAGCCCTGAAATGGACTCTTGTACAGTTGATGCAATCAAAGGAGACAAACCCAATATTATCCCGAAAGGTGACGAAGTCGTCTACCGGCGAGTCAATGGGCGACCTGGTCGCCTATGTGGTAATATGCCAAGAGGCGTTACAGCTTCACAGCTTTATAGACTAGTCTGAACTCGACAGGTGTGTGACCAATAGATCAATATCACGTGGTTTTTCTTTACATCTCCCAAGACATTTTCCAGTATTAGACGGCGTCGACCTAGAATTTTTCAAAACTCCACATCTGAATAGGAATCTTAACCCCGGAACATCATGGGGTGAAAAAAAAAAAAAAATTAAACGGCAAATAAACTATTTCAGTTTGTTTTGCTTCCTTGTTGTTCCAGATTTGTCATGTCAACATTTAAACTCAAACAAGCAGCCACGTTGTTGTTGCAGCGTTCACGGCAAAACAGGCTCGCCATTTGTCACGATCGGGAATGCCCAACCCTATAGGTTGATCAATTACCGTCGGACCAGTTTTCCTCATAACCAGATTTGGGCTACAAGAAACCTCTTGACTGTAGCCGAAAATATTGTTTACCTTTTATCGGAAATATCCATTACAACTACGGTTATTTTCAGTTCTTTAATTACATTAATTGTCTCGATTAATCCACGTATTTTGTAACAACAGCAGAAACATGCGTGACGTTTGTGGAGATTTTAAGGCATATAGTTTTTTCTGGTGTTATCTGTGATCTTTTTTAACGGGATTTACGATGCAATGTAATTGTTATTTTTTTTTTTTTTTAAATGAATGAATGAATCAAGATTGGACATCACAGCACTCGGCACATTCCCACGCGTGTTTCGTCTCCTTTTTCAGTCGCCAACGAAGACTCCCTATGTTGATAGTGTCAATTACAAATTGATTAAATCCGTTTAACATTAGTAACATAACATCAACTTTTTTGTAAGGTTTGGCTTTATAAGATATATATATATATATATATATATATATATATATATATATATATATATATATATATATATATATATATATATATATATATATATATATATATATGTTTGGTCTCTGTCCTCGTGTGACGTCCGGGTCCTATTGTGTGGAAAACAAGAACGGGCCCACTGCGCCCTTTAAAAGCATGTCGTAACAGTCGATTAATTGGGTGCTTGCTTCGAAGTCGGAGTTCACCTGCCTGAGAGGCAAGGAATCAAAAGTCTGCATGCAAATGAGTCATACCTGTGAAACGGATGTGCACGCAACCCTCAGTTGCTGGAACAGGACTAAAGCTCAGAAGTGTACGAACAACAGGAGCTCCCCGCCGGTTGAGGCAAAGAAGAAGACGATATCGTCTCTCCTAGTGACTTCTCCTCATCTATCTTAGTGTCCGTCTTTCCCCCCCCCCCTCTCTCTCTCTCTCTCTCTCTCTCTCTATCTATCTCTCTATCTCTCTCTCTCTCTCCATCTATCTCTCTCTCTCTCTCTCGATCGCTCTCTCTCTCTCTCGATCGCTCTCTCTCTCTCTCTCTCTCTCTCTCGATCGCTCTCTCTCTCTCTATATCTATTTCTCTCTATCTCTCTCTCTCTCTATCTCTCTCTCTCTCTCTCTCTCGATCGCTCTCTCTCTCTCTCGATCGCTCTCTCTCTCTCTCTCTCGATCGCTCTCTCTCTCTCTCTCTCTCGATCGCTCTCTCTCTCTCGATCGCTCTCTCTCTCTCTCTCTCTCGATCGCTCTCTCTCTCTCTCTCTCTCTCTCGATCGCTCTCTCTCTCTCTCTCTCTCTCTCTCTCTCTCTCTCTCTCTCTCTCTCTCTCGATCGTTCTCGATAAAACATTCTTCATACTTAAATATATAAGTCAAGAACCATTTTGCACGTCCATAGGCGCAATCTGTGTGTATTGAATGATATACATATATTTTATAGACCAATCAGCACTCGGTGGGTGATGTGGTCAACATTACGCCGGCCGCCTTTATTTCCCAGTATTTGATGTGGTATCCAATTAAGGCTGGATTGACCTGGGAGCCAATATTTGAACCCACAACGTCCAGCCGTTACTGTAAGTGAAATCAATATTGTCTTATTTTGGCTAAATGGAGAAGTACATCTTTTGTTTATTCCCGGAATGCACCGCAGCGTCAGGACAGGCAGAGCTCTCCGGAACGGCCTTTACTGTTCGCTTCCTTTAAAGTACTTTTCGGTGACTGATATTTCTGCGGTAAATCTTTTACGTGGTCGACCTCTGGCTCTGTTACCGTTGTATATGTATAACAGGGGGGCCCTGTCTGATATTAGTCTCGCTAAGTGGCCAAACCATTTGATACAGTACATCTGTCCAGCCGCATTGACACAATAGTGAGACATGAGTGGCTCTGCACTTCTGAACCACGCGAGCTTCATACAAATCTTTACACGTAACTTCTTTAAAATGACCCACAATATATGCAGAAAACCATACACTCCTTTTACAAATTCGCACAGGATGCGAAGTAGGAGAAATTTATTATCTTTAACACAGAACTATTATCTTTTAACCTAGCAGTTCATGTATTACAAGTTGTTTCCCGGTGGCTTTGTCTGCAAACACGAGCGAGCCAGCTCTGTCGTCTGCAGATCAGCCCAATCAGACGATCAAGTGTCGAGTTCCCGCCGACACGCGTAAAACATAACATCC